CCCTCAGTGAGTTTTTGCAAGGGTTCTTTATAATGCAGAAAACGTGGAATTCATCCTTCACGAGGCATCGGATTTAAAGTCCCCATTCCGAACGTACGTGGCTTAGAATGTATGCATCCCGCATAACGAGTGGAAGTACATCACTGCACATGCCAGGACAATGCTGAAATGTTTGTTCTTTTGTTTTGTTGTTTTTCAAAGTTTAAAATCTCACAGCTTCAAAATGTGTTGCGTTCGAAGCGCTCTCTTGTTTGCTACGGGAATGCCGTGACAGAGTGAAAATTTAGGACATCCACCGGAGCAACACATCCAGAATTAAAGATTTGACCCTTTTTAATATCGACTTTGCCCCTAGGAAGTTTTATTTTGTCACCCTTAACACGATAATTTGCTAATTGTATGGGTTCAATAAAGAAAACAATTATGTATTCTACCAGATTTTAAGAGGTATGAAATTACAAATTTGTTACATTGCAGTAGCAGATTTTTAAGTTGCTTATTTGGGAACAATTATCGTCAGAAAACAAATGGTATATGGAGCTTTTCTGCCTTGATAGGAAATTTATAATGGACCATTTAATTACGTTATTGTGTAATACGATGCATTATTAATATCTTATTAGTTTTAATCTCAAATTGATAGCGTTTGCTTGATTTTCTTTCATTATACATTAATCAATATAAAGATTTAAACTGATATAAAATGTCACCAATTCAACAGTCTTTGATAAAGTCCATATTAACATGTGTTAAACGAACATGAATTTTAAAATATTGTTGAAAAGTCTTCTGTTGACAAACATTTCAACCGCATTGATGTTGTTTTTTATTTTATTTAGCAGCATCATTTAACCTGAGACTACTATAACACAGTGTTATAGTAGTCTCAGATTTAACCAACAACTGTGCACTTGACTCTACCTTAGCTAGCTCCCTGTAGTACCGAGCACATGTTTACCCTGTTTTCATTTTGAGGTCATTTATTTCCTTGTCCAAGTTAGTGGTCATCCTGTTGGTAACTGCATTGTGCGGGTTTTTTATATGACATAACATAGATAGACAAAGGAGAAGATTTATGCCCATGTGAAACTTGTTTCACCCTACCATATACTGTGTCTGTATCAAGTCAGGCTATCTAGACCAGGTGTTCTTCGCTGTTGTTTGTCTTTGTATGTTCGGTTTTTTTGCAGGAAACGAATTTTGGTGCTTGGAATGATTGTTGTACTGTCCAATATTTTTGATAAGATATAATTCTAGTTATCCCTTTAGTGTACTATTCATATTGGATTTTCTAAATTTAAAGGATTGACTTTTGTTTTAAATAAATTGCCGTTATCCAAATCATGGACCAAATTCCGAAAACTTGAGACAACGTTAAAACAATGGAAGATATTCCTACTCAATACGCTTTATCTGGCACAGTTATAATACATTACTTGAATGGCTGGCACGCCTGGGAAATCGGTTTTTACGGGTCATTTGGCTAATTTTTTATTGAAATGTAGGTTTCAGTACTAAAATTTTTAACAATTGCATAACAATGTTTAAATCTAAGATAAAACATTAAGATATACTTTAAAACACATTGGAATAATTATCTATCGTTAAGGTCGAATTTCAAGGACATCTATCGCTTATCGGAGCAAATTTAAAATGAATGCCTTCGACTCTGTCTTAAACTGTTTTTTTTTTTAAATTTTGCAAAAAGATGAAGGACAAATAAAGTTATTTTGTAAGAATATTGATAGTAATTGATGGGTTCTTTTTATTACTTTCAGTAATTGTCCAGCTTTTTGGAAAATGTGAAAATGAATATTGTTGTTTCCAACCATATAAAGGAACATGTGAACATGTCTTAAATAAGGAATTCAGTATATTGAACATAATACTGAGTATCGCGATCAAATTTTATCCATATGCAAAAAATGTAATCAATTAATTCCTGACTCGGTATATTCAAATGAATTTCGGAAACTGAAGACGGAGATCAAAGTCTTAAAAGCTTCTTACATCTAATAAATAAAATCTACTAAAATGATTATCAAACGTCTTTTGATTTAATAATTCCTTAGACGGTTTAAGGATATTGCAATGTAAACAAACTATTGACTCTAAATTCGCCTGTCGGAGAAGAGAACAATTTATTGATTGCATGAAAAAAGTATTATTGAGGTATCTGATACGTCTTTTCAGGAAATGTTTAACTTTTAATATTATACAAAAAAACCAAATCTGAAATAACATAGAAGGAAAGCACAAAACTCAGAACATACCAAAAGCGAAGCTATTAAAAATACCGGAAACAAAAATGGGAGCTAATCATTAATGAGTAATAAAGATTCCAGTTGGAGAAGGAGAAACATTCAGGATAATATTTCTCTTTTTATTTTAAATGGTATATACTCCTGGTATCAACAGACCTTTCATGGCGACCAAAAAAAGGTTGAAATATTGAACTCAAAGCACATTATGGTGAGTGCATGGGTAACTTCTGACGAAATGAATTCAGTTTTTGCTATTTGCACGAAGTCGATGTTTTGAATGGCGACTTAATTGTAAAAAGTCACAATGCATGAAGCAACTCTGGTATACTAATTTGTGAAGTAACGTAGTAGTTAATTACAAATTGTTTAAACACTTATTTTCTTGTTAATCATAATCCTTTCTTGCTACCGAAATACACACACGCGAATAAAAAACAACCTTTATAACAAATATGTTTAACCCCGCCACTTTCTGTAAGTGCTTATCCCAAGTCAGGTGCCTGTAATTCTGTGGTTGTCGTTGGTTGGTGTCCGACATATTTGTATTTCGTTTACTGTTTTTAACATAAATCCGACCGTCGGTTTTCTATTTTTAACTGTTTCACTTTTTATCAAGACAGGGCCCTTTATAGCTAAATATAGGGTAAGGGGTTTGCTCATTGTTGAAGAACTTAGTGATACTAGTAGATAATTATATCATTGTCCTTTGTTCTCAGATGGAAAGTTTTCTAGTTGGAAAACATACCACATCTTACTTTTTTATCTATAGTCGTTAATTAAGACGTTGGATTAAGCACACTTTCATCATGTTAATAAAAAATTCTGTCAACTTCATTTATAAAAAATCAAGTCTTGTAAGTTGTAGCATTATAGTAAATTATAAGCATGAGTCTGAATGTGAACTAGATCAACAATGTATTTTGTTAAATGTGTATATACTTGGTCTTTCCAAGTTTTATGTGTAGGCTGATACATATTTTACGTGGATCTTCATAGATACATTTCTGATTTGTTATTCTATACACGAAGAAGGTATACATTAATTCAACTTCCTCCACTCGATTTATATACAATTTGAATTGAAGAGATGCATGCCTTATGGAGGGTAAATGTTTATTGTATCCGCATTTCTCTCATGCTTAAGACATAACAGCTACTCGATATCATTATAAAGTGGGTTCCGTTCTTTCGTTTAGACTGTTTTCACGTGTTTTTGTGACATTAGCATGATAGCATCTAACCTTTATCCTATCTTTTATAAGGATATTATATAACACCTTTGTTGAAATTGGCATGTTTTCAATATTTTCATTTGTACTTATTATCAGATTTGAAGTAAAGATTAGAAAAGACGCATTTGTAATTGAACACTGTGACATATTCATATATTTTATTATTCTTACTTGCATGTTATTAAAACCTAAGATATTTATATTTGTTCTCACCGGTAGCGTATATATTTATATTCTTTCGAAAATCAAAAGGCAAATATGTATACTGTGTAATTAGGTCCCATGAATGGGAACTTCGTGTGATCGCTTGTTTGAAATTAAAATTTTAAATAGACGTTTTAAAGGTTACCTCATTGGGATTCATTTAAATGTAGTAAAATTTACCACTTACTAGAAGATATGAGCTTAAAGTTCAATATTATCGCCATGTAATGTAACAATTCTTATTCATATTTTTTTATAATTTGACATCACCGTGATACGATCCTCCAAGGTTATGCAGATTAACCGTAGAACCATGAATGGCCATACAAAGCTCTGCAGAGTGAGCATGTATACGTTTAACAGCCAAGTGAAAGATTGGTATATTTATCTTGCTTGCTGTTTACTAACACCGGAATACTGCATTGTGGTAGAAGAAGAGAGAAAGTTACCTAGAACGCCATTCCTTAATTATTTCTACGTAAATGAGAAAATGATTTGGAATTTAAACTATTGTTAACCATAAAAGCCTTCATATATTCTTCCACGTAACAATATAGTCTGTTTTTTTCTCTCTCTCTCACTTTTCCAAGTACATGTTTATCCTTTATATGTAAAGTATTTGGTAGATATATACTAGATAAATCTAACATCGGTATGCATTTTACTTTTTCAATTTCAAGTTATCTATATATATATATGTAGGTAATTTTCATACCATTTCTCCCAAAGTTTAGTATATGTTTGCTTTCTTAACTTATGTGCTTTCCCGGAGAAGTATTTATCTTATTAAAAATGCTTCAAACGCAAAACAAAATTATAGTGTATCGCTTTGCCTCTTTTGTTTTGAACCTTTAAGAAGCGTATTATATATTCAAGCGAAAACATGTTACTGCAATTTACATATTAACAATAAAACTCAATTAAAATTTCAGATTTATATCAATTAAATGTAGTGAAATAGATTTCAGTAGAGCGAAACCCACACGTTGTATTGAAAACAAAATATTGTTCTATTCAGTTAACCACATATACCTCTAACAATTGACATTCAGTGTGGTAAAGATAACAAAACCATGAAAATTTACATTAAATATTCTTAATTTACATGAAGGGGAGATGCTAGGCATTGTCATTTATACTTGTTATCAAATAACTATCTTATATCATTTTTAAATCAAGATCGCGTATATTAACTTAAATTGAATTTATAAATCAATTTCATTTGATAGTGCATGCATATATCTAGCATTATTAAATGGTAAAGCAAAAAATAAAATAAAATTAAGGTTTTGAATCTTACCACACGGTGTTTCTCTGCATGTTTTTTAGGCTTTGGTCTATTCTTCATCCAGTAGCTAGTTTCCTTATCCAATATTGTATCCTTTTGGTCGCTGTATCCATTGATCATTCCGTTTGAGTTACAGTCACCGTACCCAGTCATGACTGTGTCAAAGTTGCACTCCATATCATAACTGTCCCCTTATATACATACTACTTAAAAGTCAATTCAACCATCCTGCACTATATATAACCGATTTTAAAGTGTATAACACTCATTGGACCGCATACAACATTTTACGTCCGTGGCTGATAACCGATAATTCATAAATATTAAACCTACATAAAATCGTTCAAATACCTGTGTTAGAATCTACAGAAAAACAAACCACTTTGAATATTGATTGATCTTATACATGACAGGTATGAATTAAAACGACACGTCAAAATTGTCTTTTAATCCGTCATAAGGTCCAAGAACTTTAATATATATAAAGAGAATACCTATATGTGTACTGGAGATAGGTATTGAAATAATTGCTTTAAAATAGGAAAATTAACGTTGTTGGTACAAAAGATTATTTTGGTGTAATATCGTAATGTAAATGTGTTGAATTATTTTTCTTAAGCCTGTGAAAACAAATTGAATACCAGCCCAAAAACTAAATACTCAAAAGGTTAAAAGATCAAAAGTTGATCTTTTTAAAAATAAGTGTGATGTCTTCATAATATAAGCAAAGATTATATGTATATAGAAGATTTTTTTAAGGTTTCATAATATTCAAAACTAAAACGATTTCAACATTTAAAAGACTCTTCATACAATATTGCTGTTCGTGACGTTAGTTAAGTGACGTCTCTATTTTTATGATTACTTGTATCGATATGATGACAATAATTAATACCACAAAATGCCAACAATACGAGGGTCCTTGATGTTTGAAAATGATAAACTTGACCATGTATGTATTATTCAAACCTGAAAATACGAAACCATTAAAAAGATTTGTTGAAGTAATAATATGCTCAATTTTGTCTGCATCTTTTTCTTTTTATTATTTAACTCCTCATACTATATTTGCATGGCTCGATGTCTGTTGTTAACACGGCCATCGTTTGTTCGTTATCTTATTCATTTCCGTCATCTCTTCTGAATCTATAAAGCCAGAGTGATCCAATTGTGACAGAAATAATGTAAAGAATGTAATGTGGAGAGGAGGGGACTGGATCGTAACCCTTGGCTAGCGAAGATGATTTTATTCGAGAGAAAAGACATAACCACCGGAAGTAACTTAATAATCTGAAGGTCAGATTTCAAATTCCAGCACATGTGAACTTTTACAACCAATTCTGTTCAAATTCTATAGCTCTTATTCCCTGGCCGGTTGTTCGGCTTTACTTTAGATCTGGTTTTATCAGCATTCCACCCGGCATTTTTAATTTAAGCTTTGGATTTTCAAATATGTTGGCCTCGAGAATGACTGAAGAGATATTTTAAAATTCGAAATGCGCATCTGGTGTAGTACCGTATGTACATTTAATTTATGAATGTTAACTGGGACACTCTTTACAATGATTCCTCATTTCAAGATGATGGAGTGGAAGTCATGGTAACAGCGATGCATTATAAATGACCACTATACCTTATTCGAAAATTTATATCTTTTTCTCCAATAAAAATAGGTCAAACTGAATAACATTTGGTAGTTTTCGTGTATGATGAGGTTTTTTTAAAAGAATAGTTTCACATTTCGTTCGGTTGTTGAATATACTTTATTCCAGTTGGTCATTTTGTAAATTTTTCTTTTTCCCAAATTATTAGAAATGGTGATTAGTACACCAGTTAAAAGATTATCTTTAATTTGGTGCCGATCTCGTGAACTGCATTGTGGCAATGATACGAAAACAATTCCATTAAATTTTGAGGAAAATCTTGTTTTACATGTGAATCTACCTTTACTATTTTGATCCGAACTTAGATTACCTGATTTTAGTATGTTCCTACGGTAAAATTCTACACAACGTTCATGGCAGATTAAAAACAAGGCTGCCAAAATCAATTTCCAACTCTCTTAAAAGGTCTTTTTATATTTGAAATAAAATGGTGCATGGTGGTTAACATAACATGATCAAGACCATACACCATAATAAAATTTAATACTCGGTTTTTACAATAAAGAATGGTAGATTTTGCTGTTCTATAGTATTTCTATGGTTTTCATTCCAGTGTGTATGATAAATTACAAGGAGAATTAAATTCTCCTACACGTATCTATCTTAACAAGCAGAACATCCTTCTGAAAGGGTATCTTCACAATCATGTTAATAGATAAGGGAATTTTCTATTATATGAAGAAAAAAAACTAACAGAAAAATTAACCCGAATAATCCAGTCGTTATATTCCGACTCGCTATCGATTGCTATATTAACGCTATAGGCCGCTAGAGGGCGCAGAATTATTCGATTTAGATAAAATACATAATTGCAAATTAACTTTATGATGTCATTGTGACGTCGTAATTTTGCAGCCAATCATTAAAATCAACACCTTCCGTTTACCAACCGTGTTTTCGTTTCGCCACATGTTCTCTTATATTTCATGCACCGAGCAGAAACCTATACTTTTATTTATATTTCAGAACGTCTCTGTCGCTGATCATTGTAAATTGATGATGTTCAAATCACGGGAATGATCGAAAGAAGCCACTCAGGAATTTACACAGTCTAAAAACAAACAAAAAAATCCATCGCAAATCAGCTTAAGCGTAACGTAAGAAATACAATTATTTCTTGGGTTGGACAAATTCATGAATTTATATGAATGCAAGTGATTTAGGCCTACATGTACAATTCATATACATTCATCTTTGGCCACGTAAGTTACATCGCACATTTTCTCAGAGTTCTCATAAGTCGTACAATGCAAAACCATTCCATTGTTTAAACAATCCTACCAATTTCACCAAAAGGGTTAAAAAGTACAGTGCCTGATTGCACATATAAATTACCTTAATATAACAATGTTAAGTTTAAACAACAAGATGATAATGGTGTGTGAATTACAAACCTACACATTTAGTACTTTAAAAACTTTACTGTAGTAACAGTAATATATACCACCAAAAAAACAATCTAAAAAGATCATAAATATTTAGTTCAGAAGCATGTATTTCCTAAGTCAGGAATCTGATGTTCAGTAGTTGTCGTTTGTTGGTGTGTTTATATAGATTAGACAGTTGGTTTTCCCGTTTGAATGGTTTTACACTAGTAATTTTTGGGGCCCTTCATAGCTTGCTAGCTTGCTGTTCGGTGTGAGCCAAGGCTCCGTGTTGAAGATCGTACTTTGACCTATATTGGTTTACTTTTATAAATTTTGACTTGGATGGAGAGTTGTCTCATTGGCAATCATACCACATCTTCTTATATCTATTTAAAGACTTTTTGTATGTTATTGATATTACGTTAGAATAATGCGCTTCTGCAAACCATCGTTTTTTATTGTTGTTCGTGAGAAAACGATACACATTTTAATATTTGAATTGGAGTTATCAAAAAATTACTTTCCAAATTCAATCATGTTAAATTTACATTTAAGGAAGTAAAGTTTTAAAATTCATACTAATGTGACAAATGAAATAAATATTACGTTCAAAACACACAACCGAACATGGGAACGAAAACTGTGGTAGAAAGCTTCACTGAATCTCAAATACAGTACTAGTATATGGTAACATTTGAATATGTAAGCGACATCAAAATCTATATTGTGTAAAACACATTTCTGTAGCTATAGAACAAATGAATGATATTGACTTTTAGCACGTCATTATAAGGATATAAATAAACAGTCAGGAGCCTGTAATTTAGTGGTGGTCGTTGGTTGTTGTCTCCTATATCTGTTCTTCGTTTTGTCATAAATCAGACCGTTGATTATTTCTTTTGAATTGTGTCATATTTTATCGTGTTGGATCTTTTTATAGCTGACTATACGGTGCAGGTTTTTTTGCTCATTGTTGAAGGTCGTACGGTTACCTATAACTCCTTTTATCAACGTTGTTCAGACTCCGTTGGATAGTTGACTCATTGGAAATCATACCACATTTCCTTATTTTAAAGGCATTTTCAGATAAAAATAATTTCAGTTTAACATTGTGTTTTCGACTTTTAAAAATGATTGTTATATATATATAATATCGTTTTGTTTTGTATTTTCATGTTATTATTTTTTTATGTTTTGTTTTGTTGTGACACGAGTACCGATTATCATAAATGTCTATATGGCATTTTCGGAATTTTTTAACTTCCCAGGTTATAAATCAACATTCGATCTGTCCTTACCTTCATTAACAATTACGCGAGCGAATGGTATATATAGCATTAGCATTTAGACGGGAGACTATATCCAATATGTTACTATTTTTAAAACAGAGTACTCGTTTAAAGCCTTTTTCTGTAACGAAAAAAGAAAGTATGCTAGATACACTTACTGGAAATGTGAGGATATGATTGAAGCTTTAAATTTTCTCCTAGATAACATATATGTACGTTTCGGCGATAAAGTGTATCGTCAGGTAGTAGGTATTCCTATGGGCACTAACTGCGCCCCTTTAATAGCAGATTTATACCTGTTTTGCTATGAATCTCAGTTTATGACCAAACTCAGTAAAGACACATCATTGTTACATTTTGGTTGATACATTCAACAATACCTACCGTTATCTGGATGATATTTTTTCGTTAAATAATCCAGAGTTCTCTAAATTTACCCAAAAGAGCTTACTTTAACTAAATCTAACATAAACAGCAGCAGTTGTCCTTTTCTAGATTTAGACATTTCAATTTCTAAAGGGAAACTCCATACTAAAATTTACGACAAAAGAGACGATTTTTCATTCCCTATTGTTAATTTTCCTTTTTTAGACGGCGATGTGCCTTTGGCTCCATCATACGGTGTTAATATATCCCAACTCGTTCGGTATGCCCGTGTGTGTAGTGATGTCAAATATTTTAACGAACGTAATCAATGCATCACTTGTAAATTATTAAGTCAGGGATTTCGTTACCATAAATTACTTAAAACTTTTACTAAATTCTTTCATAGATACAAAGATTTGATTAGTAAATTTGGCTGTACCTGTAGAAAACTTATTAAAAATGGTATTTCACATCCTAAATTTTACGGTAATATTGTACTTAAAGCGCGGAAATCACTATGTGATCCGTGTAAACTCATCGAACCTTTAAACAAACTTATTAGTAAGGGTTATCGTACCAATGTTGTAATTAGATCTCTGAACATAGTTTACATTGGCACTAATATCGATTTTGTCATTAGCAAATTAAAACATAACTAAATTTGTATTTTCTTTTCAAACGAGATGTATAGAGACACACACACGTTCATTTTTATCTACAAAGAAGTCACTCCTAACTATCCTACTAACTGTCGATACA